CATGGCTATCAATAGCTCTCTCTAAGTGCTTTGAATTATTCATATAATGTGCTAGCCATTAAAGCCAAACCATATTTTTCCTCTAGACTGGTATGCCCTGCTTATTTGTGGTTCCTCTTGACAAAAGGAGAGTGTTACAAAGGACCATAACCTTTACTTCCTTTCACTGAGGCTATTTTTCTTTGCTTTCATGGTGCAAGTCAAGATAGGAGGGGACTCAATAATCCCCAGAAGCAAAAAGGTGATGTCTGATGCTCAACTAACCATAGATGATGTTCAATTTATACAACTTCATTACAGCAGACTATACTACAGGTGAGGACAATTTTGCATGGATTCCTTGATCTCTGTATACTAATTCAGTTCTCAGACTTAAATTTCCTACATGTCTTCAGGTCCCAGAAGCCTTTTCTAGGATGGCCAGTGATTCTGGGGGCTGAAGTTCAAAACATCTTGTGGACCAAATATTAAGAACCACTGTTCCAATGTATCACTCAGGTCTTGGATAAGATTAACTCAATGTTGCACCACAGTCTTTCCTCCAGAACTGGATCCTGAACTGGCACATCACAGGGTGCAAGGCACATCCTCTCAGAGTCAAGCTACAGCTTGCCCCCTCAAAAATCCTAACAGATGTGAGTGAGGTGAGGTGAGGAAATGTGTGGTTGCTCTGCTTCTTGACAAGGAATCAAGCATGTCAACAAGATATTTCTGAGAGGGGGAGTTATATATTGGTATGTTAGCATGATTTCTGGGCATAGAATGCAGCACTACGACACCACATGGATTCTGTGTCCCTTAAAACAATAAATGCATTTAGAATTCCAAGCATGCATATTTCTATTTTTCTTCATTTCTCCCCACTCCGCTGTGGCCATCATCCACCTCCTTAAGTGCTGTTACTGTAATTGGGTTCACTCCCTGTCCATGCCAAGGATATCTCTTAGTTTAAAATATGCACAGTCCCTTTGCTTAGTGCTTCAGACCCATCTGTGTGCTTTCTTTCCTTCTAATGAAGATCTTGGCAGTATCTTGGTCCCTTGTTTTCTGGGGCAACAAGAAGACTGAGTCAAATATCATTTCACTTTCAGTCTGTCACATCAGAGGTCCCTTCTGCTCAATTAGAGAAAACAGAATTTTAGGCTATTTGTGTTCTTAGCAGGCCAAGGCAACCCAAACCTAAATGTATATAGTACAACCTGAAGACACAATTTTCCTTCCCAGAGGATAACTCACAGGTCATTGTAATAAGCAATCAATGTGTACAGCAGAGCTAAAACAGCAGACAAACTGAGTTATTTATTGGGTACACCAGTTCCATAGGATTCAGTGCAATTTCTTATAGGTACCAGCCAGGGTTATACATCGAACTTCAATGAGTACCAAATTCTAAGCAGAAATGAGCTGGTTCAAACTGTTTTGGAATTCAGCCAAAGCTAAGTATGAGCCCTTCAAATCACATCAAAACACACCGAGCTCCTCCCAAAACATCACACGTGATTTGATATCAAAGGGAGAAAAGAGTGTGCCTGGAAAAACTGCTAAATTTATTGCCAAGCTTGCTAAGGTGGGAAATAGTGAAAAGGAGAGGGTTGTGTTGGTTGTAGCCTTGCAATTCACAAATGTGGATTCTGATTCAAGAAATATATCATTGTGGGTCACCCAACACATTGCTTGGGGGATGCCAAAGCAATATCTCAACCTGTTTTTAATTTATTATGTGCTCTTTTGTTGTTTTGACTTTGTTGTTTGACACACCCTGTAGTGCTAAAGCACTCTCTGAACAGTTTACAACATAATTACGCAAACAGAAACTTTGTCCTCCAGCAAGCTGGAGTACTCATTTTACTGACCTTGGAAGGACGGAAAGTTGAGTCAAACTCAGGCTGGCTACCTCAACCTGTCAGGATTGAACTCAGGTTGTGTGCAGAAGCTTGACTGAAGCACTGCAGTCTAACCATTGTGCCATGAGGCTCTCTGCTATTTCTTGCTTTTCTGGAGGGGGAAGTTTAAAGATTTGTGCACCTTTAAGCACATTTTTAGTTTGTGGTTCTTACCAGGACCTGTTATATCTATTTTAAAACTGCTTTCCTTCCCAATTCCAGCTACTAATTGTAAAAATCTGTTTATTTCCAGCCTAATTCTATCTTTCAGTTCTCATCCATTCCTCAAATCCCATTCTCAATACTTTTGCTTGATTTTTGCTGTGGCTTGTTAGCAGCTATATGTAGGCATGCAATTTCCCTCATACTCTAAGTTCCCCATCCTACCACACAATTTAGGACCTAGTTGAATAGACGTGGTGGCGCTGCAGGCTAAACCGCAGAAGCCTCTGTGCTGCAGGGTCAGAAGACCAGCAGTCGTAAGATCGAATCCACGCGACGGAGTGAGCTCCCGTCGCTTGTCCCAGCTCCTGCCAACCTAGCGGTTCGAAAGCATGCAAAATGCCAGTAGATAAATAGGTACCACCTCGGTGGGTAGGTAATACAGTGTTCCCTAGTCACGCTGGCCACGTGACAACGGAAGCTGTCTTCGGACAAGCGCTGGCTCTATGGCTTGAAAACGGGATGTGCACCACCCCCTAGAGTCAGACACGACTGGACTAAAAATGTCAAGGGGAACCTTTACCTTTACTAGATTCTGTATTAATTATATTCAGTGTAACTGCACACACACATGAGAAGGGGAGGAAAAACTCATATATAATACACACAGGAGCTATTATTGAGTACACCTTTTTTGCCTCAAACTTATTTTTTCATCACTCTTCGTTCTAAAATTCTTCCAGATGCTTAGGTGAAATCACTTTTTGACATATGGACAGAAATTGATGACAAAACCACAGTAGAAGGGAACATGTTTCTCCCCCCATCAACTGTAAAACACAAAAACTGTCAAACCTATCATTCTCAAATTTAGCAGTTTCTACAGGGAAACTCGGTGCAGGCTTTTCATACAAACTTCTGACTGCAAAGCACTATGGAGGGTGAGGAGTGAATCCTTTTCTGAAAACCCTCAAATTGTAAAGGCTCCTCTTGCATGAAAACTTTCAACTGCTCAGCCTGGCATTGATGAGGTTGGTTCCCTATAAAGGGTCACCTGTGCTTTGTACATTCAGTCCAATGCTGCCAAAATGCAAAACAAAACAAGACCATTTTTCAGCCATTTGATGGTTGCCAATAAAATGGGGAGGTATATAGATTTTTAGATTTCTGTAGAGTTTTTCTTATTTGGAACTAGATGACCCCTGAAGATGTTCAAGTTAAATAAGGCCTCTTACTGAACTGGCAAAATGGGATCTGAATGAAATCTTGTGATTGATGCATATGCCTAGTACAAACTACATATCACACAGGGTTCTGAAATTCTTTCCTCCATATTCTAAAATCCAATGAACTTGCACAGGTGGCTGTTTCACCATTTTCTGAGCCACTAGAAATCATTTCCCAAAATACCTCTTCATCCACACAGAAGTTCCCATGTTCACTTCCATCCATCTTTATCCTAATGGATAAAAAAGCATGAAATCCTGGGCATCAAGAACGATTAAAAGCAAAGAATACCTCCACTGTTGTTGTTTAGTTGTGAAATCATATCAAACTCTTCGTGACCCCATGGACCAGAGCACGCCAGGCCCTCCTGTCTTCCACTGCCTCCCGGAGTTTGGTCAAATTCACATTGGTAGCTTCAGTGACACTGTCCAACCATCTCGTCCTCTGTCATCCCCTTCTCCTCTTGCCTTCACACTTTCCTAATACCTCCATACCCACCCTTTTATTCAAATACCTTCTACTCAAATAACTGGAAGGAAGGAAGGAAGGAAGGAAGGAAGGAAGGAAGGAAGGAAGGAAGGAAGGAAGGAATCTGGCTCTCCGTCTAACATATAATTTGAGTCTCACTGGCCAACTATATTTGACATTAAATTTATCTTTGCATTTAATACAAAGATTTTTAACTCTCACTCAGGCCAATGAACTCACAGAAAGTGATTACTGAATTATCTTTGGACCTCACAGGATATGCAATATATTGAGTCAGTTTCTACTGACACAAGGATCAAGGATCATGGTCAGGGTTGGGTTCATAAATATTAATGTACGTGGTTGCTATTTCCCAACCACACTGACAATTACAAAGTTCCCTCCAGACCCACTGACGACTAGAACATGTCACTTCTGCTTCTCTGCATCACGGCTGTCCAAAAAATAAAAAATAAAAAAAAATGGCATGGAACATTTTTGTCTTGACGTATTACATTGACTGGGACAAAACAAAAGTACCCAGATGGCAAAATAGATTTGTTGGGACAACTTTTGTTCCAGCTATGTTTTGCCTGTGAAAGCAAGGCAAAACAAACAAACAAAAAAAACTGTGTCTGAATCATGTGAGTAGACTATAACATTTCAATGGATGATGTCATAAAATGTCTACCTTGTTTATCCTGTGACTCTGAGGTACTAAAATGAAGGTTAAAATGCAAATTACATGAAGCTGAATGGGGCTGATAACTGAGGTGATCAGAGCACACACAGAGAGGGAATTTAATCTTTTCCTCCCATTCTAAACTAGCTCAATGATGACCTTTCTTCTGAAGAAAGAATATACTTCAGGGAGAAATTTACCACTGCCACCATGGGATTATTTTCTCACTATGAAAACAACCGCCATTTTGCTTGGGACTGAAACAAGGAGAAAAGGTTTAAACTCCATCTATGCATGTTCCCAAAAATTAATTTTTTAAAAATCTCTGGCTCTTAGATGCAAAGGCATCTTATCATCACCTCATTTAGACTCCTGTATGCTTGAGATTGCTGAATAAATCCAACTGAAATGGAATGGTATTTAAGTGTGTTATTATCAGTTTAAATGCAATTAATTTCACAAGGCCTTTATTTTGGGGGGGGGGAATTTGTGAAAAACAATTACATGATGGGGGGAACCATCACACAAATACATTTGTGTTTTCTCCATTTTAAGGCAATAATTGGTTATATCCTTACCTTAAATACCAGTTCTCCTATGAGTCCATTCCAGGTCCCATTCTCCAGGGGGCGCCCATACTTGTGATCTGGTGCAACATAAATTTCATATGTGAAGCCAAGGTAAGTGGATAAGGATTCCAAGACATCAATCGAAAAGCCCTGGTATTTCTTTGGTTTCCCCAAAACATTTTCGGACACCATCACAAATGGCTCTTCCTATGCAGGAAAGAAAGAGAGGCACTTGGGTTCCCTGGTTAATACATGATGCATCATGCTTCCTGCAATAGATGTTAAAGTCTTCCAACCCTTATTTTGTGCACTATGATTCACCCAACATTCTCCACATTGCCCTATACATTTACAAAACTTTTAACATTTAATATGTTGTACAAATAAAAAAAAATCTTGCAAACATACATAATTATTGCTGGTCATGGAAATAAATGAAAACTACTTCTTCCTCCCCCTCCTCTTTTCTTCTTATTCATTGTCTTCATCATCTTCATCTTCACCTTCTTTCATTCTCTCCCTCCCTAGCTTATGAACTCAAACAGAGCATTCCCCAGATCTGTCTGGAAGGAGAAAGGGTGCACATCAGAAGAAAATGGCTTTTATATTGGGAAAGATTTATGTGCATCACTTGTTGGGTTACTAAATAATGATGGTTCATAATTCAGAATTTGCATTCAATCACTCAAACACGACTGCTAATTGCTCGCTTGATTTATAAGACTATTTAAACATTCAGAGAGTTTTATGGCTCGTTGTAAACTTTTGTGAAACCCTGTACAAAAGCTAGCAGGTGAACAAGGGAGGACTGAGGGCTGGCTTCTGCTACACATCTTAACAGCAACAGGATTAACCCCTTCTCGCCATAAAAAATAAATAAAATAAATAAAAACATTAAAATTGTACATATGTTGTCAGACCGCAGATTCCACCATACTTTAGTATTGGCTCTGTTGGCTATGGATTTGCACTTCAGCAAAATCAGGACAGCTGTCAGTAGGTTTATTTGTTATGGCATATTTCTGTAAGATTTAGGACATTTTTGGAGATCCCATCAGCATCAGTGTTCATGCTGACACTGAATATTGCATTGAATGAGGGGGAGGGGCCATAACTCAATGTCAGAGCAGAAGGTTTCTATGCAGTTAGTCCCAGGTTAAGTCCATGCCATCTTCTGCTGAAACAACCAGAAAGCAGCAGCTATGGAAGAACTTCTTTGGAGCTCCAGGAAAAAAATGCAATCAAGTGGAGTAGAGAATACAAAACACCATTCTGTTGTGCTGTTTATTTTGAGCATACAGTTTTATTTTATTTTATTTTATTTTGTATTCTCAAAGGCTTTCACTACACCAGAACACAGAGTTCTAACTCCTGTCCTCTGAAGATGTCAGCCACAGAGACTGGCAAAACATAAGAAAGAAAAACCTTCGGAACACCGCCTGGAAAACCTATAAAAACCATCAGTTTTATTTTTTTTTCTTTACCCCTCCCCCAAAGTGGTTTATGAGAAAACGAAATACAGCAAAACCATTGATTAAAAGGAATGGGGGGAAAAAGTTCATGACTCCAATTCATGATAATCAGAGATGCGATTTTTGGAATTCCAGGACTTCTAGTCCCAAAGGTTGTCTGGAACCTCCAGGTAGGCTTCTGGGACTGGGAGAAAAGAAAGAAAAATGCAAAAGATATGTCTGTCTACCAGAATTGTCTGCTTCATTCCATATGCATTGGTTGGGAAGAAAAAGAGAACACACTTTATCCTCATTCTTTGCTGAGAATCACCCTAGTGCACCATAGGGAGGGTCATCTTCCATTGAACTTCATAGGGGTGCCTCTCATTGAACTATGTTCTCCATGGTGCACTAGGGCAATTCCCAGCAAGCAGTGGGGACTCAGCGTGCAATCCCTTCTTCTCTCCAAATGATGCATGTGGAATGAAGCAGATAATGGCAGTAGAAAGATACAGTGGTGCCTCGCATAGCGAGGTTAATCTGTTCTGGATTAACCTTCGCTATGCTGAAGCATCATTGAACGGGGCAGGAAATTCCATTGGAACACATTAAACATGGTATAATGCGTTCCAAATGGGCTGAATACTCACCGTTCAGCGATGCTTCTTAATGGCTGGCAGCCATTTTCGCGCCCTCCCCTCTCTTAACGAGGGCGCGAAAACGCTGCGCGCGGCCATTTTGGGCCATTTCCAGGCTTCCGGCGGCCATTTTGTCTGCCTAACAGCTGATCGTCGGGCTTTTTTTGGCGAAGATCGGTAAGCGAAACGCTTTGCCCTATTAAAAAAACATTGAGCGATCGCATTAGTGATCCCAAAAAAGGGATCGCTATGCGATTTCGTCGTTGTACAGTGCGCTCATTAAGCTGTATCTCTTTTGACTTCTTTCTTCTATCCCAGCCCCAGAGATCTGCCTAGGGAGTTTCTGAGCAACATCTTGGAATGGAAATCCTAGAATTCCAAAAACCTTACCCCAAATCATCATTATCAGGTACTCCTAACAATCAGGACAAAAAATAATCAGAAGAAAAGGTGAACAGAGATCTTAGTTTGATGGAGCAAAGACCCATGACACACATACAAATGTCTTTATGGGGAGCTGGTGAGCCCCAGAGAAAATGGATGTACATGGATGCATGTACTTCAAAGCCATCCTGCACACAAACATTAACTTTTATTCTCCAAGACTTTTTGCCCTGAGATTTGCCATTCTGCCTGAAGACCTGGGGAAGCAGAGGAATTTGCTGATATTTCAAATGATACCCTGACGTATAGCATCCCTAAATTGTTTATTTTTCTGGAAATCACAACTAAACTAGTAAGCTTCTGATTCAAACCAAGGTAAAACTGCTTTTATGACTTGTTGAAAATAGCATGTATAAGGCCGTGTCTAGATATGGCACATGGATTATAATCGTAATCCACTGAAGTTCAAGAACTAAATTCATTCTGGTTTTGGTTTTGCTATTGAAAACCTAAATTGTTCCGATGAAGGAGGAATGTAGTTCAGTAATGATGGATGCCCAATATCCCCATCTCCCAATCCAAATCTTTCTCATTTTTCTTCTGGAGATGAAGTGTAATTATTTCCATTTCAGTCTCACATGTTTGACAATGATCAGAATAAAAAGCAGACCTGTCTTGATGTGCTTAGCAAAACTGCATGATGCGGGAGGAAAGCAAGGCATTCAAAGTGACAACTGTGCAGTGAATCTTCCTCAGGCTTTCTACTCTCTCCCTGAATGTGCTGATAGTTCATCACTCAGGGGCATGAGTTCAGATAGGGCCAGGCAAGCATCCTAAACAGTAGCAGAAACACTGTAATCAAACTACAGGAACTGTACAATGTGATTTGGGGCTGATTGTTCTTCTCAGGCTCCTTGCCGAGGCACCACAGGGAGTTATCATCTCCTTATTCCCCACAGGAAATATCTGGAGATGGGTGACAAGGGAGGGGGGGGGAAGGACCCAGCTGTCTTTTCATACCACCTTTATAAATCAGAAGCTTTTCTGGCACTAATTCACATATTCTGGAGAGAAAAGACAGCCTCTCCACACACCCCTCTATTCTGTCTTGCACCCTGAAGCTCCTCATAAAATTCTAGTTTAACTTTCTCAACAAGCAATCTCAGCGCTTGGTGCAGCTTCTCACTGTTATATTTTTACAGCAGCCTATTAAAGTCATCCTTAGCACAGCAGCAGTTCACAAAGCACTGAAGCAGTGGAGGAGAGAGAAAAGGAGAGACTAAGGAAGAAACTCTTCTTCACTCTGCTCTTCCCTCTTGTAAAATTGTGGCCCAAACTTTTCTGTGTTTGGAGGATAATTTGGAGAAACATTAGAAAACGTACATCCAGCCCTACAAGTCTATGCAAATACGTACATCACCTCTTCAAATATTACCACCGCCAAAATGCTGTGGAAAGCTTTGTACATTTTAACTTGACTGTAGCTCTGCCTGAAATATACATGAGATCTATAGTCTAGCGATATCCAGAAAAAACTTTGCAACATGCTGCCTTAGAAGGCTGCTAAGAAGCTTCATGAAGTTTAGAACATGACGGCTAAATTGCTGCATTTCTATCAAGAGCCCAATATCAGCCTTTGCTTTTTGACTCTTTATAGGCAAATTCTAGTGGTCAGGTTTTAAGACTGAAGTGCCATGATACCAGAATGTCTGAAGGATACCTTTCTCCCACCTTTACAATGGTGAAAGTTGAGTAGATGACCTTCTCAGTATTTCAAAGGTCCTTCCCAGAGAAGATGGACTGGAACAAAACTTGGTCATTTCCAGTTTCAAGCACAATCATAAAACACGAGAGCCCACATTTTTCTACCATGTTTTGTTCGATGTTTCCTGCAAATATCTGAACCTTGTCTCTTTCAAAAGACAACCGATAGACTTTTTCATTTGATTTTGGTAGATATGAATCTGTCTGGAGTTATCCTCTCTTACAGGAGTCAGTGATCTAAGTGGAGATCAGGTCCATTTATCAGATTTGCTTGCATCTCAAGGACTGTGGTCCCAAGGGATGGGACGGAAGATGAGGCACATGGCTAAAGAATCTACTTTGTATATTCAAGTTTTAAATTATCACAGCAATTATGAATTGCTACAATGTGGTTTTGGTTAACAAAAACAACAGATTTAATATTAAAATTGTTTTTTTTATGTGTTTTTTTGTTTGTTTGTTTATAAAAAGCAAAAGCCCCCTTGTACCATCAAGTGATTAATCTTGTATTGTTGATCCTAGCTGACTGGATAGCTCAGCTGTGGAGTTCAGTTTCCCACTGTCCATCCTGGAAGAAGAAACAGCCTGTGTGGTACTGAACAAGCTGCACAGTCCCAACATGGCCCCAGAAGTAGGGAATGGTAAACCATTTCTGAATACTTAGAAAACCCTGAAAAGGGTCGCTATAAGTCAGAATTGACTTGATGGCACATTATTATTATTATTGTTAGACCTGGAGTGCTGGAGGCCATCAAAACATGGCAACATCATATCTCCATGCCTCTTAGAGGTCCAAAAAGATTTTTTTTAAGCAAACAAAGTAGGCTATGTGTTGGGGGATGAGTGGGAAACTCCAGGAGTGCTGATGGGGAACAAAAACGCTCTTGTAGATTGCATGCTTCCAAAAGTCTGTATGTTACCTCCCTTTGCTTTGTTCCATTAATTTTTAAGTCCAAGTCTAGTTTTCAAA